AGGCGTGCAACAGATTCGACTACGAATACGCGCACAGACAAACAAACAAGCCAAATTAAGACAAATATTTACTTCTTTTTATTATTGTAGAAGATGGATGATAATATAGGAATGTGCGCGGTGAACGTTCATGACGGGCGTTGGATTTTTCATGAAATTTGCCCCGGGCAGGGTCCGGTTGGATCACGTTGCTGCAGTCTAAATACAATATTATAATATGTTTCGGAAGAACCGTAATTTCGGAAGGCAAAACGGCAAAAACTTTCATCGGAACAAGCGGCGGTGGGTACACTAATCGGCAGTCTTTTTTTTCACAGTGATACGATCGCGTATATAATTACTACATATATATATATATTCCTCGTCCCACTGGGTAGCGTATTTACAGACCCGATCCGAGTTCAGCCCAAGTTGGTTTCAGGAGTTTTACTAAAAACAAAACTATAATCTACTTACTAAATACCTATCGGACTATACGATGTATACGATATAGACCTTTTTCTGAAAGTGAATTTTCTTGGGATGGTAATTTAAGGAGGTACTTCATTTTTCGATATTCCAAGGATTTTTCTCAACGAATTGGAAAAACCGTGAAAAAACAAGGGAAAACTGGGAAAATCAGTACTATATTAAACAAATATTATTAAAGAAAATATATAATGCTTATTTAATTATTTTGCCATAGTATGACATATATATATTGTTGACAAACCATTACTATCAACTGAACTCCGCTTAGAATTATTTTTAATAAGAAATGGTTTATTGTTACTTACAGATACAAATAAATTTCCCCTTTATATCCTACCCTCCCAACTTCTCACCAATAACAGTGGCTGCACCCGTTCCCATTATCCTAGGACAGCTTTTTTATTTTTTGTGTAGTACAAAATAATACAATTTTATGCAACCATAAAAATGTAATAATACAATTTTTAGATTCTGAGTGGAACGAAGAAGCTTGTAGTTTTACAAAGATGTTTATTTTTATCTGTGCGCAATTTTTCTACCAAAATACTTGATTGAATTTCTACGTGTAGCACCTTTTCTGAAAGAAAATCGGTGAGGTTCCTTAGGGAGGTCATTTTTCGATTTTCTCATTAGTTAAAGGTATTAGATAAAATATATTACGCCCTTTTTTTTTTTCTGTGCACAACTTTTCTACCAGCAATTTTGCAATTTTGCTCCAACTTTTAATGATAGAAATATTTCTAAAAGTTCACTAGGGAGGTACTTTAGAGAAGTTATACTTCGAATTTTTCAGGAGTTTTCCCAGCAAATGTGAAATACCTGGATAAAACACGAGAAAACCGGGGGAAACGTAGGAAGATTGGGAAAATCGGTAAAACATTAAACAAATATTATTGAAAAAAATATATAAAGCCTATTTAATTAATATAAAATTACATATATATATATATTGTTGACAAAGCATCACTATCAACTGAACCTTGCTCAGAATCGGTCCTCAATCCGGGCTCGTACGTATATGGTATACCCGCTCGGACCGAACTCGGATACGGTCTGTAAATACGCTACCGAACCGCGGTACGGCTAACTGACGGCCGTTCCGGGATATTTTGGCGGGTGTGCGACGCGTACGTTTTGTAGTATTATTACTATTATACTGTGTGACGCCTAAATTTCTAAAAACGCGCGCGTAACACACGCGATCGGCGAAATCCGATGAAATCATTGCCGCTGCTGGCTCGGTGCACGAGAGCAGCGTGTATAATAATAATAATAATAATAATAATATTATTATTATTATTATAATAGTGCTCTCCCCATCATCACGCGGTTACCTAATGCGATCGTATAATAATAGTAATAATAATAATAATAATAATAATAATAATAATAATAATAATAATAATAGTGGCCGATATTATAATATATATATGTGTGTGCGTGTAACGCAACGTGTGCGTGCGTGCAGGACGGTAGGAGGTTTTTTCCCCTAGTCGAGAGTGATAAAAAAAAAAAAAAAATATAATTTAACGGAAGACGAGACGTGTCCGGCACGATTATAATGTACCTACCCATACCCGTATATTATTATTTTTTATAATACTATCGTAAACCGCCGAAACGTACGTGGCGGCGGCGGTCGCGCGCGTTTAGACCGCGTCCGTATAGGTACTGCAGAGCGTTTTTCGACGAGAGTTTTTCCGCCGGTCCGGGCCTCACGAACGACCCGACATAATCATTCGTTCAAAATTATTTAATAATTTACCATAGATTGTCCCTATTTGTTGTCGCAATTAAATTTCCGAATAAATATTAAATATACTAGAAATAATGACTGTTTTTTTAATCTATATGTATGCATACATATCAAATCCAAATACCGCTGACTCACTGATCGCTGTATTTTAAAAACTACTCAACGTACGCATTTGAAATTCGGAATAGTGGCTCCTCTAATACTTTCGCCGTGCAATAAAAAAGGATTTTTGAAAATTCAACCCCCAAGGGGGTCGAATATGGGTTTTTTTTTAGGTATATTTGGTACGAATATCTAATTGTTTATTTCTTTGTTTTCGTTTATTCAAGGGTTACCTCGGTGTTACGGAAAGGAAAACTATTACAATTATTAGTATTATCATCACTATTATTTGTACTATTGAAATTTCATAATTGAACACATTTAGTCCGCCGAAGGTTTCCACTTATTAGTTTTCATTCAATTCTGACACGGTCAAAACCAAAAATTAAATACGGGTAAAATAATAATAATACAAATTGGCACGGGCAACGCCGGGCGCGGGAATTAGCTAGTTAATAGTATTTCTAAGAATTATTTACGATCTTCACCTGCTAATATACTGATGGCCATAGGAAATACTACCGAAGTCAATTTTTATTGATTGTATATTACGTGTTATAAAAATATGTCACTTTATGCGTTATGTATTTATATAGAGAATATTTTGTAAACGGAGTTTTTTTCCGTCAATAAATAATAATAACATTATACGAGCGGATTTGAGTTCATCAGGAACAACTTTGCGCTACGTTCGTTCCGAATATTATAGAGTGAATTGACCGGTTATTAAACTTAAAGGTTAGAACACTGCGGCGGTGTGGAACCGCGGAATTTTTTTTCATCGATATTTTTAATATTTAAACGGGGTACAGGCATTTTGAAATTCACACACTCATACCTCGGTTGAAATTTAAAATACCGAGGATAAAAAAGCTCCGCGCTCAGAATGTAACTTTGCGTTTGAATTAAATAACAGGCGGTTCATTCACTCCGATATAAAAAATAACGTCACAAATTCGTCTCTGCCGCACGGATTTTCACGTTGATTTTAACGCATGCTGTGGGCATCACGTTCTGCAACACCGAGCTTCACCTCGGTTTAAAATAAATAACAAAATACAATAAAACGTGTGCGATTTATTGCGGTCTCGGTCGTGTTCAGCGGACGCGGCTACCGGGTGAATTTTCGCCCCCGCACACTGCAGCGGCAGCGGTGTCAGTGGCGGTAGCGGTGGCGCCGCAGTGATAACGATACCGCTGCAGATTCGGTGACGGGAGTGAACTTTTGTGTAAATAGCACGTGAATTTAAGTACAATACATATGCGCGTGTGATGCGATTTCAATTAAATTAAAATAAAATAATGTTCGTATGCTCGTACTATATAATACCCGTATAATAATAGTAATAATAATATATGTGTTTTCGGAAACGGCGGAACCTTCCTCTGGTTTTCGAAAAACAATTCAAACTTATTTCGCATTTTGAAATAGTCTTGAGAAGTTTCTCGTGTAAGATTTACGTACCGATCTGTAAATGTATTATTATTAATATAATATAATTAAACCCTGCATGTTTCTTTCCCATAACCGGTGTTTAAAGAAAATAAAGACATGATAACATTGCAAATCGAAACGATGTGTGTGTGTGTGTGTGTGTGTGTGTGTGTGTGTTGGGGGGGGGGTGGTAGTTAAAAATCATACGTTGAAATTAGATGTTTTGAGAGTATTTACCGCTGCGCTTTAGCCGGTGATTTTCGCTGCGATGCGGGCATGGTACACAACTATTTACGCGGTCCCGACCCTGCCGCCGCCACCGCCACAGTGCGTGCGATCCGTGTGAAGTCTTTAGTATACGCGGGCCCGGTCTAAAGCGTGTAAAAACGACGGCGTGCGGCGGCGGTCGAACGGAAACCGCCGGGCGAGAGGAAAACGGCGGAAAAAAAAACAATGAAAAAAAAATACCTACACCTGCCGGACGGGGGGGGGGGGCGAAGACGACGACGAGAATAACGAGCGGGGAAAAAAGTGCGAGTGTCGGACACGGAAGACTAAACGCGACGGGACGCGCAGGGCGCCGACAATACATCAATGACGTCGTGCGGAGACGGTAGAAAGCGGACCTCGTCGTTGCCGTCGCCGCCGCCGAGACAGAGACGAAAATCGCGCGTGGCCGGAGATAAAGAGAGAAACAGCGACAGAGTGAAAGACAGAGAGAGAGAGAGTGAGAGAGAGAGAGAGTGAGAGAGAGAGAGAGAGAGAGAAAGAGAGCACGTCATAATGCAGTCGTTACCGCCGTATAACACTCGAATATACACACGCACGCACGCACGCACACAAACGTACAAACAATCGTCATCGCCGTCGCCGCCGCACAAACAAGTGAAAACTGTCAAAAGAAGAAAATCGCGGTTTATGCGTTTAGAAAAAAAAAAAATGATAATAATAATAACACGATGAACGATGAACGACTACGACGATAGCGGCGCGGAGGAGCGGGAGGTAGGGGTGTGGGGAAAGAAGCGAGGAAAAAAACGACGCGCGGAGAGGTGGCGTCGAAACTTTCCTGCGGTTCTGGTCCGGTGGCCCTCGGCCGGGCCGCCGCGGTGGGGGACCGGCGGCCGCCGCCGCGGTTTTCCACCGCCGCGGTCGTCGAGGGGGCCGTCGCAGCCGCGTTTTTTGTTATCGACGCTGCCCGGGCGGTTCTCTCCCGCGAGTCGCGATCCCGACGCTCGTTCAGTGACGAATAAAACCTCGGACGTGCGTTATTAAACGGCTACTAAGTGATCCGCCGCCGTGGCACCACGCACACCGTCCGTCGCTCATCGTCGACTCGTTTCTCCGACAAAACGTTTGTTGTTGTTCTTTTCGAATATTTCACTATCACCGTCGTCATCACCGTCATCATCGGTCTAGACGTCCGTTCATTCCGTCTCGTCTCCGCCGTCCTCGTCGTCGCCGTCGTCGTCGTCGCCGCCCCGTCCCGGAACGGACTCTGTCACTATACAGCATCCGGCGGTTATCCGTTAGGTCAGGTCCCGATCGGGTCCCGTTGTCGCGTAACTCCCGACCGACGACGACGTTCAGCCGCCGACAGCCCAAAAAAGGTAAACCGTATGCATTATTATCGGTACACCATAATTATCATTGTTGTTCTGTCTGTTCGACAAAGGTTGTACACGTTTTTAAACGTATATTTAAATCGAAAGGACCGCGTAGTAATACGCACGAGGTGTTTGAATGGTTTCAGATTTTTCAAATCGTTATTTGACGATTTAATTTCACAACTCGTTCAGCGCGTTACTGTCGTTCTAGAACGGAACACAAATTTCATTAAATTTACATAAATATATATATATATATATATAAGTATAGTTATATACTGTTATTAGATTTACGCGTAAACGAATACTATTTCAAGAGAAGAGGCCGGAACTAACGGAATTGTTCGTGGTGAAAATTTACCTACCCGGACTTTGTAACAGTTTATCGCGTGTAGGGAATAATAATTTTAAAATTAAAAATTCGATTTAGTGACACGACCGTCCGGAATAGCATACATTTTATAGTAAAATGTTCGCCAACTGCGTTGCGGGCGTTCAAGTCATTCGGGCACGTTTAAAACAAAAATGATTTCATATTAGGTATCAAGTTCAAGTTTATCGCGGTGTACCTATATTATCAGATACAAGGTCGATACGCGTGTTGAATAATCGACTCCCGAAGCAACCGTATACTTTTACTGTGAATAATAATATTATAAACTTGCGACGATGTGCGGGGTTTTTAATAATTAACAATACGAATCGCGGTACTCGAGCGATGGGACGGGAGTATAATAATGCAGGCAAATAATACTCGTACATAATAGACACGCGAGTTCCCATTTTGGTATAAAATAAACAAACGCCTTTATATAAATTACGGATTATAAAATGACCGAAATCGATTAATGTTGTTGAACTATCGAGTTTTCGGACTCTATATACAAATGTACAAACGACGGTATAATTTTTCTAGAGGAATTTTTTTTTCGAGTCGTTGAAATACCCGAGGTTCTGTATTATATGGGTACTGTATATTTTTATTGTATATGCAAATATACTATATCTTATACGACGTCCGTTATATTCATTACGATTTGTTCAAATTCAAATCTCAAAAATAACTCGTGTAATGAAACATCCGACGAATATACGTGTATGCAATGTATGGTTTGAATAGTCCAACAGATAAAATATACTAAACAATATTTCAATGGGATTTTTCTTTACACGCCTATAATAATAATGATGATGATAATAATAATAATAATAATAATAATAATAATAATAAATGTCTTCAGCTTCATGTAGGGTCGGGCATTCGTTTGTGAAATCCCGAAGCCTATTGTCATGAAGATTCTCAGCAGATAGGTACGTGACAGTAACACTCACGTTTGATTTTCACCTGTATTGTCCGGCGTTAAATCTACCATCGGAAACGTACCTATACGTACATGTATGCACGAAACAAATTAAATCAAACACAAAACCGAACCCCTCTAATTGGCGTAACCTGGAAATTTCCAGAGTCAACGAGATCGAGAATTCTTTTTCTTTTTTTTTTCTCTGGGAATAAATCTGTTACAGTTACAGAAATAGAAAGTACTTTCACCGTTTCTGCGCTTCAATAACCGCGTGAACCCATCAACGAATTTTCATTGCACTGTATCCTTTCTCGAGCCGTCCAAATGACGTTGTGCTGCACAGTGACACGTGGTTCGTGAACATCGAACAGTACCGGAGTACATTATTATATTCGTCTTGTTATCGAAAAACGTTTTCATCGTGTTTTATACACACACCATTACATCAAAATACGAGTACAGTGTATTGTTAAACAATAATATAACATATTATATTATACATATTTTATTTTTTCTTCTAATTTTTTACGAATTCGCGATTACTTTTAATAGAATAAAAAACAACAACAACAACAACGTAATCTTGGACAATTATTACGGTAATTAAGAAAAATATTAAATTGTGAAAAACAGTTACGGAGCATTATAAAATTAAAACGACTTTAAGAAAGTGAAATGATTTCATATAGTATATATTATAATATTGTATAGGTAGAGATAGTGTCGTTAGTAACATAATGATTGTAAATGATGAGATGGAAAGTGGATTTTTTTCTAGTTTAGCGTATTATTACACCCGAAAGTGTATACATATTCTAATGGCCGTAGTTCAATAAAAACAAAATTATCGTCGATGTTACATGTTATCAATATTTTAGAAAACTAATATGAACAAAGCAATGATTGTTTTTTTATTTTTAATCAAATTTAACGCACTTATATATTTTTACAGAATTTAAAAGGACTGCTTCCAAAGGATGTCAACAATCTTTCATGAGATTCCGGTGTAATAATACAATGTTTACAATGTTCGTCTGGGTTGTCGCTGTATTGCAGGCGATTTTAGTGTCGGCTAATACGGAATCACGGTCTTATCATTCAGCGCCAAACACGCAAACCAATTATATAATTACATCAAAGCCGTTCACCGTTAGAGATGATGCGAATGCGGGGACAATAAAATGGAGACGGGACACCATAACTGGCGCTTCGCTAATAGGGGCGTCAGATCCGACCAGAATGAAATATTCCATCGAGTGTACAGACCACAACGAATGTGCCGGTATCGAATTAGGCGGATCTGATGCTACGTTTAAACCGTACACTCAGGACGAACTTAACAGAATACTTAAGCGTTACGGTGAGGCGGACAGCGAGCCTGAATCGTCTGATAAGGTATTGACTTATGATGACAGTGGTAACCAAGACAAATCAAAGGCGTCGTGGAATCTAGTAGATCCTGCGGGACAGAGCCCGAAAAACCCATACGATGATCGACGCGGATGGGTGACTTTAGAGCCTATGGCCTGGTCTTCTTCACACATCCAGAAATGGGAACCGAACAATCGCCCAACATGGCCACCACCACCTCAAGACCACGCACAACCTAGTTACTCCCCGTGGGCCAGTAATAAACCTATACAACGACCCAGTAATAACTATCATCAATCCCAACCGCAGTCTCCTGACTGGACTACCGAGCGTCCTTGGATTCGACCCACTTACGATTATTCGTCTAAGCCACCACAAGGTCCTCATTATCAAAAACCGTCAGCTCCGCAGAACTCGCAAAACTTTTACGGATGGAATAACGCGGATCAGGATATAATCACGGATGGCAAACCGGGACAGTTTCCAGCAGACGCCTACCATAAACCATGGAACGGTGATTACGGCCAATCGTCCTATGGTCCGAGACCTACAGAATCCGAAGGTGATGGTCAATGGGTGCTCCTCTCCAGCACTAAAGGATATTCGATTCCACATCGACCCAATCGAAGCCTACAGGGTAGATCGATTTCCATAGATACAGTAAACAGTCCGATAGAAACCACGGGAAGAACGAACGAAATGGCGGGTAGATCGGCGGATACGGCCAGTCGGCCAATAACATCAAAGAGGACGGTGCGATTAATGGTCTTGCCGCCAGAAAAAGATTCACAAAATGTGACTACATCGCACAATGGTATGATAGAAGTGGACGTATCGAGGAAATCTGTGGATCAAGAACAAAGGGAATTCGCAGCTAGGGCACTCAAGGAAACCGAAAACGACGTGCAAGTGTTTTCCGATAGATCGGCAAAAACCAACGACGACCGCAGGGCTGTATTGGCCGCCGTGGGTGCAGGGATGCTGCCCGCAGCTACCATGGCAATGTTTCTACCAATGATGGTGGCAAGAAAACGTAGGGATCTCGCGCCCAGACCCGAAGTCATCCTGCGGCATCATGTATATCCTAGATAATGGTTAACTTTAATGTATGATTAATAATATTCCTTCATTTCAATGTCATGTTTTTGCGCGTTCCGCTCAATGTTTATTTGATGTCGTTGCCAATATCCTAAGTACCTTCTGAGCACTGTTATGTAACTACACATTATTAATTATTTATTTATTTTATGTAATAATTATTTTATTTTATTCATACTTTATTTATTTATTAAGTATATACTTGTATATTGATTGCCGTAATTTAACATGCAGTATGACATTTTACGTTAGTATTAAGTGAATATTTTGGGTAAAAGTGAAATAAAAATAAACACGTTGTATTTATTCGATAAATAAAACATTGTATATTATTACGTATAAAAAAAAATATAAAATTTAAATTAATATTTACATAGACAATAGAACATAGCTGCACATTATTATAGTAGCTATGTACCGAATACTTAAGTATACAACATGTAGTTAAATATTTAATTCAAACACATATAAATTTTTCTCTTAAAAACATATTACAAATCGATATAATTTACAATATGTTTGTAGATCCCAAAACTTGAGCCTAAAAAATGCCATTAATAATTGTATGAAACATTTTTTAGGTTAAGTTTTTAGTCTTGAAAATATTATAAGAGAAATTCCCCAGTTCATTGTACATTCCCATCAATTCACCAAACTTATTCTAACACTGTTTAACGTATCTAATTTGAATAAATTCTGTGTCTTATTGATCTTCGTTGCCGTTTTTCATGGGTTGTAGTGGATTCAGGCTTAATAATTTGTTCTTGTTTATTTTCAGACTGTTGTCTTTCATTGGACTTTTGTAGATTTCTAACCATATGTGTCATTCTTCTCTGAATGGCGTTGACATATTGCGTAAAGCTGGCAGCTGTGTTTCTCAAGATCTCAATTCCCATTTTCAATTTTACTTCAGCCACTTTTCTTAAAAGGTCAACTAATGAAAATTGATTATTGTTAGTAGGAGGTGATTCTGATGATGGAGTCGTTTTGGTTGAGCTAGCCATTGTAGATGTTGTCGTAGATGTCGTTGTAGATGTAGAATATATTATATCACCATCCGTCTGATTTTCGGTCGTTTTAACGACAGTTTCTTCGGTGGGCTTTGAGGTTGTTTCTTCTGGTAATTGAGCATCAATTTCATTAAGTTCGTCTACTTGACGTCTTATTCTTAAGTTTCGGGGTCCATGTTCCATTTTCATAGTTTGATGTACATTCACTGATATTTGTTCAGAGTTTATACTCGGATCATAGAATTTTGGTACACCTTGTAATGCGGAAAATGTAGGATCTGCTGACGACGCGGTGGAACTTTCTTTTTCTTCTGCTCGGTGGTTTTCAAAATTATAGTTTACAGCAACAGCTTCTTCTTTCGGTACATCTTGGACATAACCCGGATATTTGGGCGATTCAAAAGAAGATGGATCTTCCTGATAAGCTCCTTTTACCTGTGAAGTACTCTGATATTTAGGTTGTTCGTAAGCATTAGATGAATCAAACTTGAGTTGTTCATATTGGTGGTTTTGGTAAGTCTGATCTTGGTTGTCAAGGGATTGTTCAAATGTTGGTCCCTGTGATGTGTCTAGAGATGAATATGATAATTTTTCTTGGGGAGGATTTAAGTCAATTTTTGTGTACTTAGACGTATCTGGAGTGGAATATTTATTAGAATCGGGTCCAGCATATTTTGTACTTTCAACAACTGCGTACTTAGTTCCGTCATGTGTTGAATATTTTGTAGTGTCAGCTGCTGCATATTTAGTTGCATCATGAGCAGAATATTTAGGTGTATCAGCTGTTGCATAACTATTTGTATCATGCGCAGAATATTTAGTAGTGTCATGGGCATTATATTTAGGTACATCCTGAACGGCAGGGTATTCGGCTGATTGGTAAGATGGCTTGAATTTAGGAACTGCATCAGGACGCTCTCTACCGTAAGGATTATGACCATAAGACATTCCAGACAACACTTGTCCGAATACTTGTTCTTCAGGTTGAGAATTATCAGTTTCAGGTGGTATATATCCAGGCCCATTTCCATGGCTATGGCCATGAACATGAGGATCAGTACGCCTTAATGGTACCAGAGGTATAGCAGCTCCTCCTAATGGTGAGTACAATAGCAAACCTGCTAGACCAGCTGTTAACATTAAGCCTACTAAACCGACACCTACGTTGGGCATAACTTCACGAGCTAAATAGTTATAAATTCGAGTCGATAATGGTCGACCTGATGTTATTTTAGTATTTTGTTCGTCAATTTTACTTTGCGCGTCATCATTTGAAGTTTTAATTGGTTTACGCTTATTCTTGTTCTTCTTCTTTTTCTTCTTTTTCAACGAAGTGTTCTTTGCAGTAGTATTATTTGATTCTGTAACATTTTGCATCATTTCTGTAGAGTTTTGTGATGTAACCGAAGTCGAAGAATATGAAGTAGAAGTAGGAGGTACAGTAGTAGAAGATACTTGAATGGTATTATTAAACAAAGGCTTAGAAATAACGACGGCAGTCGAAGTTACTTTAGTTGTCAACGGTTTTTCTGCTTTTTTGGTATTGTTTGCAGACGGTCTTTGTCTAGGAGGTACATGAGGAAAAGTGACAACAGGGGTTCCAAATCTTGTATTGTTATCAAGAGAAGGTAGTTCAGAAAGAGGAGTTGTAGATTCTTCAACTTTGTCTTTTATTGTGGTTGTAATAGGTATTTTACCAACAATTACAGGGGTCTTATTTTTAAATTTAGAATCTTGTAATTTTATTGGAGAATCAGTTGATTGAGAAGTGCTAATTTTTTCAGTAGTCGTTGTTGGTTTCCTCTTTCTAGTAGTACTAGTAGTATCATATGTTTGAATAAATGAAGAAGCAGTTGTATCGGCTGGTTTAGGTACTTTCTTAATCGTTGCCATATTTAAAGGCGCAGGAGATGATTCTCCACCCAAAAGAATCCAAGTGGACAAATCTCCAGTCGGTCTCGTCGAGCCGTCTGATGAAATTTTGTAACTATATGGACCGACAGCGTGAACATCATCATCAGTAAGTACTGGCACCGCTTCTCCTTTTAAAGGCGTTTCATTTTTTTGAACCGTTCTTATTTCCGATGAAACAATCACATTGGTAGATGTGGACGTTTGGAGAAGTTGATCACTAACAGATTTTACGGAATCTCCTATTGGTGGAGCTTTTGTAGTATGAGAACGGGCGTCACCTGCTTTGATTGAAGTCTCTGCGAAAACCACAATCGGTGTTGCCGTGTCTTCTTTCCTATAAAAGCAAATATAAGTCATCAATATATTTTAACTGATTATATTTATCATATCGGATTAAAAAAAAAAAAGTCAGGTTACAGTATGATTATATTTTATTGATTTAGTTACCACGCATAACCATAATTATACGTATAAATAATTATCTTAATCATAATTAATTTGTACAAAATTATCGCAATAACGACGTCACAGCCTGGAAATTAAAACTAATATTTAATAATACATTAAATACACATATTAATATTTATACACGAATACAGTTAATTAAGATGTACACCCGCGATCGCTTAACCCACAAACGAGGAAAGGAAAATTACAGTCAAGTGAGTGCAGTGAATAATTATTATTGTACAATCATTTAAAATATTTTACAAAGTACCTAATAATAATATTATTAATAATATGGCTGATGGTAATTATTTGTATTGTCAAATTGTCGATCAAATTGATTTATATTAAAATTGTGTCCGAGTTGACGACCGAGCCACAACCTGGGCAATAGAAAAGGGAACAAAAACGACAAGACACCCAAACCGCTGGTCAGAATTATAGACATTGGTGGGAATAACATAGACCAAAAAATTAAGGATAGAGGCCCGATGAAATTTAAAGCAGAAAAGAAAGTAATTAACCCGTCCAAAAATGATGAAGAACTAGAACTCGCTGGAGATGACGAAGTCGTGATAAGTTCAGAACATACTTTTGAAGCACTACCACCTGACCGACATTGTACTTCTTGTGTGGGTATTAATGACCCTGTGTTACCCATACCACCACCGACTCCCACACCAGCTCCACCTCCTGAACCCGCAGATCCTCCTAGAGCTACAGCAGCGGCTGCCCCTCCAGAAATTCCGACAATTCCGGCTCCCGCTCCTAATATAGTTGCAGCAGTTCCAGCGGCAGCAGCGCCTACGGCAGCAGCTGCCAAACCACTACTCCCTGTACTCCCTCCAGCACTTCCAGCAACCACGGGATCTTGTTCTACTATCGGATCACTTTGCGGCGGTTCAGATTCCGTATCAATATCCTCTAATATGACTATTGTGGGTGGAGGATTACCATCCGATAACTGCGTTTGAGTAACGGATATTGGTGTTACAAAAGTTGGACCCTGATATTGTACGGGTGTAATAAATGTGGGCACTTGGTGTTCTATGGGTGTTACAAATGTAGGTGATTGATCATTGACTAGAGCGGGAATATTGTATTCCGGTGGATAATAGCCGGACGAAATAAATGGTGGACGAGTAGTTGGCGGTGTTTTATCACTATTAGGGAAAATCAATGGGGTTTCCTGCCAATTTGTATACGGATCTGGGGTAGATGTCTGATACATAGAACCCGAAGAAGAACTAGACGAGATCACTTGGTATCCTGTAGGTTCGAGATTCGACATTTTTGTATAAATTGGTACTTGCAAATATTGTGTTTCAGATTCGTGTTTATATGATGGGGATTGAGTTTCGTCAGAATGAACAAGTATAATCGAATCTAAAGAATTAGCACGAACCGGATTTCGGAGGTCATTCATAGAATAATTTATAAAATCTTCTACTAGTCGTCTATCGGGTGATTTCATTAAATTACGTTTTTTTCTTTTAGTTGAATTCAAAAGGAATTGGAAAAAAGGTCTCAGCGATGGATCGGGTTCAGCGTAACGGGTGTCTTCTTTTTTCTTTATGATATTCGATGCGTTTTGGTTTTTAGGTGTGCTCAAATAACTTTCCACAGATTCCAAAGACCTTTGAGTGGCTGTAGTAAAAGCTGTATACCTGTTAACAAGATCATCTGAAAAAAATAAAATCATATTAATGTTTACAACTATTTTTATTTATATTCTATGGATCAAACGCTTGTGGATTTTATAAAAATACCTATATAATAAATGATAAACTAATATAGATTTCACATTCATATTAGGTAGTATGTGTAAGAAGAATTGATTAGGAATAGTTTAAATTAACTGTGTGTGAAGTTACAATATTTAAATATTATTGACGTGTATTATTAAACGTGACGGCAAACTTTATAGGCAATTTATATAGCATATCCGCGTGCATCTTGATTTTAAGGCGCTCGACGCGTCATATTATTATTCATGTTGCGTTTCGATGGCGTTAAAATTTAAATAATAATCATTAGCGTAAACGGCCAATTGTTTTTTTTTGTATAATATATAGAAATAGCGTAATACTGGTTTAAAAACGTTCAAATATTACTATATGTAATAAAAATATGTAGATTTCAAAATATATTAGTTTTCGTAAAATATACTTAAATAAGTAATAATATTTTACATTTACAATTCAGATACCTATCAAAATATCCACATGCGTTTGTCGTCCATAATATTTAAAATCAATGTGTTTTCTTGTCCAGGCGTTACCTTTTAATTGGTGGGCAGGTGTGTTCTGCTCTTGCGGTCGCCCGAAAACACTAACCACTTCACACACGAGTACGATCGACAACAAAACCAACCGACGGTTGATTCTTCTCATTGTAATACCACCGATCTGGAAAAATAAAAAAATAAACGTTAGTGCATTGTCGAAAAAATTATTTCGGTATTATTATTATGTATATATATAATAAATAATATTATATAGTTGTGTGTTGTTTGTCGTTTTTTGTGTAAACAGTAGTATCAATACTTGTCTCCGTTTTATGAGTAAAACGCAAACGTTTACATATAACAATATAATAATATATTATTTCGATTTAGGTCGTAAAGAAATAAACCCATCAACTGTATTTGAAAAAAAAAAAAAAACAAAATACAATTCAAATGTATCTGATACGCATAATATTAGTTATACCAGCGGTAAATAGATTATTGTACATTTTTAACACACTTATATGCAATGGTGTTCTCATCAAGTTTTTCGAGAGTACACTATAATATTCTGTGTGTCTTACATCGGGTATTTTATATTTTCCGTATGGTTTATACTGTTAATAGGGCCATAAATATAAATTTACAAATATGAAATTGAAATTTCGAAAATATGACAATTAAAATTGAAAAAAAAAAAGTATTGTAAACTATAAGAATATTGTGCATTTTTAGTTATAACTATTGAAATAAATAAAATAAATTACACTATATTATGGTTTTAGTGACATAAGATGGCATGCACGGGTTATAATAATGATATAATATTATGATAACTTTTACTATTTAACTATTTTGACAATGAAAACTATTTGATAGTATACAGAGTGTATGTAGATGTAATATACTCTATGCCGTAGATTCTATGGTAAATATGTTTATATGTGCCGAAATTTTGAAAAAGTAGGTATGAACAATGATTGCCAGAGAATGTTTACAATCACAGGGTAGCGAGGAGGTCATGCTAAAGAGCTAAAGAGAAGATACTGGAAAACACCTCCATGTGTACATCGATGGTTAAGGCTAATATTTGCAAGATATATTTTTACATTTTAACTAAACAAAAACCTTATTATATTTAATTCCGATAAATAAAGTAGTTTTTCCGTATTCTTTTTTTTTTTTTTAGAATTCATCTCAAAAATATAGAAGTCGTCCGTTACACCGATTACTATAGTACTATTTTTCAGTATTTTTAAATTATACATAAGAAAATAATATCTTTATAGGTAAAAATTAATTTAATAGAATTATTGCTTTTTCGTATGTTATAATCGAATGATTTTTGATAAATTATACGAAAAGACACCGAGATTCGTAAAAATATTTGTATACTAAAAACAACAAAACATAGCGAAAATGGCGAACGTACTGAATAATATTATAGTAATTTTTATCAAAGGGAAAATATGAAGACATAACATTATTATTTACTATTAATGTATTATATAGATTAATCGGAACATAGTAGGTACACGTATATACTTTTAATTCCGTTTTGCCTATCAATTTTGATAGGGTTACCGTGAAATTGGGTTATTAGGACAAATAAAAATATCAAATTACTAATTTTTCACGGAAATTACTATACTACTAGTATTACCGGTAATATGTAATCTGTAAACAATTTTTTCGGTTTGAATTGTGTTTCGATTGGTTTTACAAAATACAAATTCATTATTATTAATGATGATACTGCAGTTATAACAACAAAAAAAAAAAAGAAAAATGTTTTGTCTATTTTAAATGTATATTATTTTCTGCGATAATCTTGAATTAAATTCCACATGACCATTGTAGCACTGGGAGATCCAAAGGGCTCCTGTAGCAGTCCCCAATGAGAGAATAGTATATTCTAGTAAGGATACTTGTTTGTGTGTCCTAAAATACCTAGGTAATTTTATGGTATCCCATTACTGTTTGAAAGTAAAATATGATAATAATGAAAGTTTAGGAAATTTTATGAGGACTTCTTGGAGTATCTTTAAGGAGTCTTCAAAAGGAGTCCCATACAGAGCAGTTATTGATTGTCTAACATAAATCCCAGTGCTACAAGGGAAATGCCTATTTGTAATTTTTAACTTTTTAAAAAATTATTTCGCACAGTAATATTTCTAAAACTATATATAATTAAAAACATAGTATTTTAGATTTTAAGCGGAGGGAGTAGAGCGAGTTTCACTATGATGTGTAATTACTTTTTATTTATATATTTGTTCGATCTGCCAACAAATTTTCTACCAGAAATAGTGTTCCAGTCAAAAAATAATAAGAGACCTTTCTATTGTTACATTTTAGATCTAATTAGTGGTGAGAAGGTTAATTTTTGATTCCTTGTAGTTTTTCTAAAAATATGGAAATCCGGAGAAGAAAACGAAGGAACAATCGGGAAATGTGCAACTTCAATATTTTCGATTTTCTATTTTTGTTGTAACTCGGTTAGAAATAATCTTAGAGATATGTCATATCTTATATTGATCCTTAATCGGCGTGGTTGTAAATGTTCAAAAATTCTAGCAACTTTTAAGATGGGCATTTAAATGTTAGAATCACGGTATTTCGTATAAAAGCATCTATTTCGTGATGTGATAGAGTTGTGAAGGCGGCTAAAGTTGTGGCATGGAGGGGGTAATTTAGGCAGTACTCATAGTCCTGCTCAAAGAAAATTATATTGAATGAGTGGTGGTGCATCTATTAGTAACGTAACATAGAAAGGTGATAAATCCGTATCTTTTAAGGTACGATGTAAATAATTTGGAGTTTTCCGAAAAAGTATTTTCCAATAAAAAAGGACATAGGGTATAAATTTTTGAAAATGTAGATAATTGTTTCACATAAAATACCTCTGGCAGAAATTTATCATTAAGACTATAAATAGTTTTTTCGCTATATTAAAAATCTAAAAATTTAAAAACGATTGACTTCTTTATTCAGGTTAGCTATTGATTAAGTTTGATTTAATTTTATGGTTATTTTTTTGTTCTCTTAAGAAATCAACGATCCAGATGAAATACAAAATATAATAACAACATTTCATATTTTTCTAATGTTCATACACAGATTATAGAATATTTCATCGAGCCGATTGCGTTCTACTATTCTATATTAATATAATATTCCGATTGCTATTCGAATAATAATAAGTAAAATTCTTAAGTGTCATTCTCTCTTTGAAATCTTTTGTTTTTATTTTACAGTGTACTATAATCAAATTCAACGTAACTCATATTTAAAAACCGATCAATGGTTATACGAATAGTACGTCGTATTAAAATATCATACACGCGTACAAGTCATGCACCGATCAAATATATTAAACGATGAAATATAATTAAAATATACATAAAAAATTATAATAACGTTTGATATTTAGGTACGTGTATATAATTTTACTTTAACGCCAGTACGAAAAAACATAAAGGAAAAAAAAGGGGGGGGAACTATTTTTCATATTTTGATCGAAAATATAGTATGCAAGCCGAATGTTAATTATAACAATTTAATGTCGATACATTTATTTAATCTTAGGTAGGTATGTTATTACATTGGTAAATTGTATTATTACCGACCTTACTTTATTATAATTATATTAATAGCTCTACAACGGTGATTTGATTTATGCATTTTCGACTCTGGGGAACGTAAATAAATAACAATTTTCTCGAAGTATTATTTTTTTTTAACTATAAATTATTATAAACGCGTCACATATCCGCATAATACATTAATTATGCGTATAGGATTCTTTAAGGAAGCGATAATTTTTCCGAAAATGTCCCGAAAAAATCGCGAAAGGCTGTACAATTCCCGTACGTTTTAAATGAGTTTTATATTTTTTTTTTTATAATATATATACGTTTAATTGATATTCCACGGTTTCTAGAATGCGATATATCTACGACCTATCTAATATAAATCTTTCTTTAAAAATATCTCCTATCTAATATAAACGATACGAAGACGCACGCGTGAATTGAGTAGGTACAAATTGATCAATTTGTTTAGTAGTTTTGCACATTAAGACGAATATGTACCGTAAGTACGGGTTGTGTGTGTGTGTGTGTGTGTGCACATTTTACGGGTCTCGTAGACCGGCTAATAATTGTGTCGGTGTACATAATGAGTACCTAGACGAAACGCATATTTGTGAACCGAGCCCATCAGTCGATAAGTGGTTTCTCGAGTCGTGGATTCATAATAATATTATTATTACTGCCTACCTATAGGAATTATAGGTATCTCTCAGCACGACTGCGCGACTGACTCATCGTCCACGCAGGTGGTTGTTATTATTATTAGTCTTCGGGCAGGAAATAAATATTAACGGTCCGCGCGAAGAGCAGCCGCCGTTATCTCGGAAACCGTAATAACAATAATAATAATAATAATAATAATAGCGACGATTACAACGAAGATGTTATACATATTTTTTTTATTTATTTATTTTCCTTCTCCTGTATAATATTGACGTTGTGCCACGATAGTTGCAGCGACAACAAGGCGAACCGTTACCGTGTCGGTCATTGGACAAAACCGTTTCAGTAAAATAGAGAAAACCCCATACGGCCCAAGCCCAGAAGAATCAGAAGCCGTGTGACTAAGGCTACTTGCTATTAGTCGTTCTTGTTACTGCGTACTTCCCCCTTTTTTTTTTTTATTAAATTATGATAATGTATGCCAACCCATCCGACTAATTTGGTCATGAGGCAACTGGTTCACTGGAAATATTCATCATTTACTCCTCTGTAATGGCCCCAATCTAACAGCAAGTATAATATATTATGCAGCGTCGGATCTAATCCGGGGAATAATTATCCCCGGGCGCAATAATAGGGGGTCATAGGGGGTGACGAAAATTATACGTAGGTGTTTATTTTAAAAAGAAACAAAAAAAAGGTATTTTTATTATCGGCAATTTAAGTCCAATAACTTGTTTGTAACGTTCCAAAAATAAATACTGTCCAGAGAATGATGAATAGTCATCTTACGATATCTCTTCGTGTCGAGCTCACTTTTATTTTCAATTACACGGTGGTGATCAAATATTATATGTTGATCACATCACGATAGTTCTATTTACTAGCGCATTAGTACATTATACATAAT